CTTTTTTTTGCTCTGTATATTTTGTCTAAAATATTTTGCTACTATTCTGCTGCACTGCACATAGATACAAAAATCTATGAAAATATATTTATTTAAATATTGAATCATCTGATAAGTCAGTATTATGTATCCACAAAATAAGCCCTTCCTTACCTTCCATCATTCAAAGTATCAAAGTACTTAGATCTTAAAATAACTCGCTAATTTCTGTCTAAATGCCATTGGCATCTAAAGCCATGTCATGGCCACCTCAGTTTCCTCTCACTATTGTGCCTTCCTTTAAATATCTGGGGATTGTAATTACAAAGGATCCTTCCCAGACCACCTCAGAGAACATTGGTCCACTAATGCTAATTTCATATTGTAAGTAAATTGCATGTGTTGTCTAAGCTGTCCTTTCTATTGCAGACATAATCCACTTAATTAAAATTATGCTTTTGCCAAAAACGTATCAATATACTTACACATATGCTCATGATGGTACCAAAATCCTTCTTAAGGGAAATTGTATCTCTATTGTCATATTTTACATGGGGTACCACTAGACCTAAATTGAAACTAGGCACTCCACAAAGGCCGTAAGAGGAAGCTAGCATGGCCCTGCCTTATATAGTTTATATGACTTGGTCAGACATTTAAAACATCTAATCACATGGGTCCTTCCTGTAGTTTCCCATAATTTGGTGGCACATTTGGTCTTGCGTTTACTGTGCTCACCAACTTAATGCGCTCCCTCTTCCCTATACACCTGATGTTTGTTTATTTGGTATACTCAGGGCTGGTGCTTTCACTAGGCAAACTAAGCAGCCACTTAGGGTGCACTGCCACCTAGGGGCGCCTGGGGTGTAGCACAGGCCGGCTCTCTATCTGTGTGGGAAGTTTCCACATCATAAATGATCCTTCAGTTGAGCAGAGGGGAAAAAGAAAGGACAGATGAAAATGCCGGGTGTCTGGGGCCAGTGTAGCAGCTAAACAGCCATTCCTTCCATTGTTCCTCTCAGACTCAGTCCCTTACTGCAAGCCAGCTGGCAGCTGCTAATCACTGTGGAGTTCCAGCCCTTCTCTTTCCATTCACCAGTGGAGGCGGAGCTGCGCCTATGGAGGAAGGTAATGTCTGACTCTGATGTCTCATGTCTGTGTGAGTGTGACCCTGCCGGCCATCCATCACATGTGCAATGTGTCAGACATCAACACGACTCCACAGCCTGCCCTTCTAGTGCCTGCTGATCTGTGTCAGTATTGGTGGTGGTGTGTTGTGTTGGATCTGTCACTGTGTGGGATCGCTCCATTCAAGTGTTCTCTGTGTGTGTGTGTGTGGGCTGGACTGCCTGCTGTTGCAGAGTTTTATCCAGCCTGGGATCTGTCAGAGTGTGGATTCAGCATCTTTCACTCACAGTAATTGTCATCCTGCCACTGCCAGCCACAGATACAGTCCATCCGTGACACTGATTTTGTCTGTAATATTGGTTCTGGTGGCATCTTATGGCACTTATTTTTGCAAATTAAAGGACATTTAGGTTTTATGTTTTGTTGATTTAATATTTTCTGTTTTTAACATTTTTTATTTACTTTTTTTTTTTGGGTGGGGGGGGGGGGGGGGGGGTAGCTGGTCTTGCCTAGGGTGCAAAATAGCCTAGCACCGGCCCTGGGTATACTAGACAAAGAATATTGGCCGCACTATACTAGAATATTCTTCTTGCTATAAACTTTGTTTATGGCTCGCAAAGTTCATCCTTCCCTACTGTAGCTCAATGAAAATCATTAGGTAAGCAGATTATCCCTTATGAAAAAAGTTATGTATGGGAATAGTAACTGTCTTCTAAAATTCCATAAAATGTGAGACCTTTGGTGTCATTTTTCTTTCATGCTAGGTACGGAGTGACCTCTCCAGCCTTACAGTTATAACTGTCGCACTATATGTATGCATGTAACAAAAGCAAATGAGAGACTGTCACTGTTCCACTTCTTTATGGAGCATAATTATACCCTACTGTAATTGTGAATATATTTGCATTTTTATATTTATGTACAACTGTTTGAGTTCAATAAGAGTTTTACAAATTATTAAATTATCTCCTTATAATTGCCTTGAGGATCTAAACCTTCTCAAACTTTTCACTGCTTTTCCTCACTGGTTATATATCTTCATTTTATGGTCCCTCATGGAACCCATGTTTAGATTCCATGGTGTCCTACAATGTTGAAAAATAGCTTTAGCCAAACCTGTTGAATTTTCTGCTCTATTACGTTTGCATTGTACAGTACAAGTAAAAAGAATTTACGAAATCCAGTCCAAGATGATAGTGCTGCTGTTGCTACATAATGAAATGAAAATAAATGCAAATAAGTCTGTCAAAAAGGAGAAAACATCTGCAAATCTTGGTTCAGCAAAAATCACATAAAACTGTAAAAACCCAAGTTAGAAGACCATTTAATTAGAGACCTGTTAAGTGAAATTGGAATCAACTCAGAATTTCCTTCTTTCATTTTTTTTCTCAAAGGGTTTGTTCAAGCCTATTTACAGTATTGCAATTTGAACGATAAAAAGTTAAAGGGGTTTCTTTTCAGGTTAGAGGTTAATATAGAATTACATAGACATGAAAGGGCACATTTTCAGTTCCCGAGTGAGGCTTTTTTTGAATAAAGTTTTGTGTGTGGTTTCTGTAAGCTTACCATTCTTGTACATGGCAAGGGAAGGCTATAGTTTACGAAGTTTAGCATGCACACAGCTTAGGTGTTCTTTTTGCTTCCAGCAATTGTTTTCATTAGAATAGTTGTTGTATCAAGAATTACTTAAATTTTATTAGGAATAGAATACAGTTACAATCTATTTTTGTGTTTGTTTCATAAATCAATAGTCATTTACAGGTCTTCTCAAAAAGATATGAAAAAGCTAAGGATGGGGGCACATTGCTGTATTGTAACCAAAAAATGTAAATATTGATGGGTGTTGTAAAATACTTAAAGGTCAGTCTATCCAAAGTCTTACTTTCTTTTTGGATGGAACCTTTTGGGCTGAATCTGCCCCTAGCTTCCTATACTTTATACAGTATATGACTTGGACACTCCAACAATGGGATCTTCCTATATAAATTAACACATCTGTACCAGTCCATCTGGGAGTTTTGGGTGTTTCCAAACCATGGCATGTTCCAGAACCTCCTGTTCCATTCTTCAAAATATAAAACAAATATAAACCTAGCAAGGAGAATGAGAACCTTGTAATGCCCACTGCAGCTTTGCAGGCCATGTAATTCAAGAGCTGATGCTGATATTTAACCAATTAATAAAGATATGCTCGAGTGGTTTAACTCTAATATTCACCAAAAAACAGAAATATCGCTTTAGAGAGGGATTGGTCCTTACATTTTTAGCCTAGGGCATTAACTATAGCATTAAATCTTAATAGCATTTCTATGTACATGAAATCTGATACATTTACAGTCATTCATAAATTCTGTCTTTCCCCTTTGAAATATGTGCAGCTATGCAATTTGGCCAAATATATAGAATTGTATTTTAAACATTTGAGCATAGGCAGATATAAAAAAAAATCCTATTTTTTCTTGTGTTGTAGATACAAGATGCAAGTACCTCAATCTGCCGCACAGTAGTCTCTTGTACATAAACCTTCAAACTGGGTGAAGAAAGGGAAACAATTTTGCCCAACTAGGCTTTAACATTGTACAATGCTGTAATGCTAACAAATGGAATTTGCCAGTTAGAGGAGAGAACACAAACATGACCTAATTATTGAGCTGTTGTTCCTTTACTTGACCAAGCTATACTGTGACTGTGATGACTTAAAATGAGTGATCCACATTATATGTATAGCATCTGGATAAGAACATTCTCTGAGCAGAACTGCATTTTTTTTGTATTTATATTTGTATTTCAGTAAGCATTTGCAAACATTTTAGCTATAAAAAATACTCTATAAAAAGTGTAATACAGCAATCTATTAAAATTTGTCAGATGAGAATATTGTATATGGCAACCGTTTTAAATATTTGTCAGAAAATACAATATCTGGGTTACCAGTAAACACTTTTGATAAATTGTCCCCGTTACATTTTTCATATTTCTTTGGTAGTATATATACGTGTCTCAAACATGTTAAGAAAAAAAAAAACTAGATCGGTAAATTACCTGAGACTTCTGAAACACTGTAGTTTAGATGCCAGATTTCATATTTTCTTTGGGACAATGTTGCAGAATTAGGGCTCATCTACATGTGAACTGCTAAAAACTTCTATGCATGCAGTTTTTTCCCTTAATAGTTTTATCATTTGCTTTTTACTGTTTTTAATGAAGATAGCTACCAACAAGTGATTAAAATCTAATAAATAGTGTTATAGGGAATCTTTGTGGAATTAAATATGGCAACTGTGTTTGCTGACTTGGTTTTATTGGCGCAAGTTCTGCAGCTGGTATCCTGATCTTGGCTTCACTATCTTGTACTTTCAGCCTCTCTCAGTCAGTACGCTGGGGAAACCCAGGGGTTCATCCAAAGGTTGCAAGGAGAGCCTTGAGGTGAAAGCAGTGGCAGATTAATCTCCTGCTTACAATGACTACCATTATAAGGGGACACTACAATTTTCACCATCTGTGTTTCTTTTCTGGCCATTATCATTAATTTCATTTTATGATTAATAAAAAAAACTTTATCCTTTATTTAAATCTCTGTACAACCTACTGATCACACTAATGCATCATGAGCTGTAGGTCTAATAGTTTTAGTGGGGTTTCTTGAGACCTGAAAACTATTTCAAGGGTTCCACCATGGTAAAAAGGTTGAGAAATAGTGATCTAGTATGTGACTGATCTAGAACTAACATTCAGTCAGTGACCATATGTCTGAATGCAGGGAAGCCAGGATGTGCTTTTGAAAATAGCCAGCAATATCAGTTCCTGTATTTTTGGCCTCATGAATTCACTTTTAGCCCTAAGTGTTGCTTTCAGTTCTTCTGTTTTGACTATAGCCCCAGTTTATGCAGTTGTCAGATAGGCTGCCAAGTCTTGTCTATGGTCTGAATGTGCTCCTTGGCCTTCATGCGTAGTGCAGCAATGCTGGAGCTTCGGTCCAACTCCTCTATTGGAAACTTGTCAACAAAGCCTCCCATGCATTGGTAGGGGCCACTGCTGAGAGGCTGTATAGATGTCATTGTAGGTGCACTATTGAGGAAAGTATGACCAGTGTAATGAGACTGAAGATTTTGAGAAGGGGTTATAAATCCTGGTATGCTGTGCACACTGCTGGCTGTAGAAATGGGGGAGGTGAGCCATGGATCCAGAGGTAAAGAAGAGCTTAGTGGCCCAACATTGGTGGTTATTGGTGTCCGTGAAAATGAGAGCAATGGGGAATCATGAAGTTTGGCAGAAGAAGACTCTAGCTTCTCCTGACGCCTCCATTTTGCCCTTCGGTTCTGGAACCAAACCTGTATAAAAAATATTTATGCTTATTTAGTAAGAATCAGAGGTGATATTTTAGAATCTAGTACAGCAACAGGTGTCAAGAGAGAGAGCGAGAAATCTTTAGCATTAGGATAAGAGCAATTAACATTCCTAAGGACAGCTTCTAGATAATAAGGATCCCATTAACGGATCAAGGTGGCCACAAATTGGATATTTCAGTTTATGGATTAGTAGGGAGCGGATAGTAAAGAATAGAGTACAACAAAATGTCATGGTGGTGGTTAAGCTGAGCTTGGAATTATATATTATGGTAATATTCACCAAGATCTTATTTAGAGCAAATAATATAAAAAGTCATGGAATGCTATGGACCTTCAAGATAAACTTTGCACTTCCTAATTATCTACTGTATAAGGAGATATGAGTCTATATATATATAATAAATATATATATATATTTTTTATGAACTTGACATAATTATTCTTAAGATATATTATGATTGTGTCACTGCATTTTTCCTATGTTCCTGAAGTTACTTCTTTTTTGCATTTAGTCATTGTATTTTGCCAATCCATATTAAGTAAAGCTGCATAACTTTACAGCTAAAATCTAGTATAACCCATTAAGTTGCTTAAATAAAAACTTTGTCAAATGATGCCTAGTGTTCCAACATCACACATATACTGTATAGTCATTTGGTCTGTTTGGAAGACTTCTTGACTGTACTATTATGATGAAGAACATTAAGCAAAGACTTTTAGCAGAAACTACATTATCCTAACCTTTCTATGTCTCTAACCTAAATTAACTTATAAGAAGTCTACTCATCTATTTACTTACTTTGCCTCCTCTGCTGTTTAACTCCTCTTGGCTAAAATCTTCTTTAGTGCTGGCCACGCCTACACAATGACACCCCCCCCCCCCACAGGGCTCTACTCTGAGGCTGGAGACACTTACAGTTAGGCCCCTTTTAAGGCTATGGGGTCCACTGCACAGGCATGTCCAGTGCCAAAGAAGATTTGCCATTGAAGGATAGAAACAGCTGAGTAGGCTTTCAGCTGTCATGTTGAAGTAAATAAGCTTGTTTTGGGATTTCCGGGTTCAATTAGGTTACATTGGGTAGAGTAAACAAATGTAGTTAACAAAGGAATAAATCAAGGAATAAATCAGAAAAGGAGTATTTTACCTTCTTTTATTATCTATTTAAAAAGTACTTGACTGTTTGATCAGTTATTGGCCATGAAAGGACCGATATTTACTGACTGATAAAGCTCAATTGAACATTTATTTAAATCAGCTAAATACATTTAAGGTGCATCAAAACAAAAGGCATTCAATGTCTTTCAGTTCATTTTATTTCTAAAGCAACCACAGCTTGATTAAAAAAAAGGCTGCTGCTGCTGCCAGCAGCTGCAGAGTGGGAACCTTGCTTTCTGTGGGGAAGCAGTGGTCTTATTACAGGGGCCTGACACAACCTCACTGAGTCAAAGCTAGTGTTCTTCTTTAAAGCCATGTTCCCCACTAATTGGAGAGATCTAGCTCTGAAGTGGGTGTGGTGGACTTCTGCAAAAACAACCACTTCTTCCCAAAAGAGAGCAAATGTCCTACTCCACAGCATGTTGGCAGGAGGCAGGCTTTTCTACTGAGGCTGTGGCTGATTTTTAAGGAAAAACTAAAATACTTTGCACACCTTTTGTTTAGATGCACCTGGAAAGTATTTAGTTGATTTAAAGATTTAATTGGGCTTTAACCAGTTGTAAATTTTAGGCATGCTACACGCCCAAAAAAGCTTCATTGCAGTACACAGGGTGTATATAGGATGCCCTGTTTTTCTGCAGAGCTGCTGCTCCCTCACTTTTGCTGGAATTTCGCAGGTGGTGAAATGTGTGTAAACACAGCAGCTATCATGACAGCTGCTGTCAAAAGACACATTTTCTAACACTGTTCACACTGAGATACAATGTAACATTGCTACTCATGTATTTACTTTGTTTCATTCATATGCAGATCAAAGAGAGTTGATCTACATATAATGATGTCAGTTAAAGCAGTAGTAAACCCAAAAACAAAAATTTTAATGTGTTGGCTGCATTAGTACATTAATACATTTGCAGCCCAGCTGGTTATACATGGATTGAAATTTTGCAGGTTCAGCAGGGCTCTGTCAATATCCGATCTATATATGGATACTGTGGCTGTACAGAAGTCAACCAATTGACTTCTGTTTAACCGCTCTCTTGGATTTTTTTCCTATAGCCTGCAATGCTGATCAGTGTATTCTGATGGCAGGAAAATCTCCCCACTGTCAAAGTACAATAACTCAGCAGGGAGGATTCCCCCATCCACATCGAGTGTGTAGATGAGGAAATTCACCTATCCTATGGGCTGCTGTAGCATGTTGCCCGTCTGGATGGAGGAGCAATGGAGACACCCTTGGACAGCAGCAATGTCAGTCTGAGGAGAGTGTTACATGCACTTAGACTTGACTAACAAAGCAGAACTCCAGAAAACATTTTTTAAGCAGTTATAGTAACAGTTTTTTTTTAAATTTGGGTTAAAGGTTTTACATAAATGGAAAAAAAATATGACTATTGTAAGCACCCTTGCCAGTGTTAAGTGTTTTTTTTTTCTCTCTCAACACGCTAACATTTTCTGGAAAGCTTAGTCTTTTAACAGAAGTTAAATAAAGAGACTTACTGGCCAAATCACAATGTGTAAATACATGGAAAGAAAGCCTAAAGAAAGAGAGCAAATGCAGCCACCACATCTACAGTAAGAAGTGGTAAGCTGCACTATAATAAGTTTTTGTTTTTGGCTTTAATGCTTCTTTAAAGCAACCTGATATGTAAAAAGGATTTTTTTTTATAAATAAGTTTAAAAAAATATATAAACCCTTTGCTACCCGAATTAGTTCTAATTAACTCCTTCTTCCCCTCCTGCCTTTAGCTATTAATTTCCAGCTCTTTTTTATTATTATGTTTCTATTTGTAATTTTTAAACTTTTTTTATTCTTATTCATTTTATTTGTTAATTTTTTTAGTGTTGCAATAAAAAGCACAACCAAAGGCCTTTATTTTATGTGTGAATAACTTTGCAATGATTTGTACCAGCATCATAAGGAAAGAAAAGAAGTGTGTTATGCTAGATATGTTGCATTTTTATTTCTATGGATAGATTGCAAAAAGCTATTGTCAAAAAAACAGTCCCATAGCAAAATTGAAACAATTGCTCTGGTCCATACGGGGTGTACAGGTGTGAGCACCTGTGTCTATATGAATAATTTGGCATTTATTATGGTATAAAAAGGAAAGCTTCAAGAGCTGTAAATCTTAAAAAAACCACAGGATCCAAAGACCAGCAGCAAACAGAACAAGCAAGATGGAATGGGATGTGGGTCTAAATAAAATGTATAACTTGGCAAACCTGAATGTGGTTGAAATTATTTAGGAGGAACATAAATTAGTAATAATAAAAAAGTATTAAGTCTAGTTTGTAAAAGTTGTACTAAAAATTGAGCTTATTACACTTACAGTGAATTTAGCCACCCCCCTTTTGTGTAGTCTCACCTGTACCCGAACCTCTGGCAGGCTAACCTTCATGGCAAGCTCTTCTCGGCTATATACATCTGGGTAGTGGGAACGCTCAAATGCTCTTTCTAATTCATGCAATTGGTAGGTAGTGAAGGTTGTTCTGTTTCTGCGATGTTTCTTTTTTGGAATTTCATCTTCTTCTCCTTCTGGAGGACATGATGATGGTGTATTGTCCCCTCTTAGATCACTCAGATCTCCTTCACATTTGTCCAGAAACATCCTAGAAATGTGGTAGAATAAGGTATGGCCAATAAATTCTATGGTGTTTGTAGAAAAATAAAAAATTAACTGTGCTCTTTTGGAACAAAGAAACAGTTGGCATGAATAATTATATACTGAAGACTGTACAAGCAAGTGTGGGAAATGGGGTGTAGAGCAGGAATTTACTCAAAGTACTTTCACCCAAAGTTACTTCTTTTCAAAGAATTGGTGATTTGTCAACACCTAAGTGTCAGTATTACCTTGAACAGAAATATCCCCAAGTACCTAGTCTGATATAGTCTCAGTACATCGGTCAGCAGTTTCTGGCTCTATGATGCAGTGGCTCAAACACTGTATGCAAAACATGATATGCATAAGAAGCAAAGTAAAATATTTTGATTTAAACAATTTAAAGTGATATTAGACCCCCCCCAAAAAAAAAAATGTAATTAAAAAATTGTGTAATATACAGCAGCCTGCCAATCTTTGGTGACTGCATTCATTTTATTTTTTTTATTATTTTTTTTTCATTATATTCATATGGTGATCCAGCCAGTAATACACTTTCTGTCCTTAGGGTGTCTATTCTCTGGATGGAGAAGCAAAAGGGAAACTTTGCACAGCAGAATTGTCCATCTGGGGACAGGGTAGTGTCATGCACTAGCATGGACTTGATAAGCAAATTAAAACTGAACTCCAGCTAACACTTTTTAAGCAGTTATAGCAACAGCTTTTATTTGCTTTGGGATAAAGGTTTCACATAAATAAAGACAAGTTGACCATTCATACAATAGTTTAAATAATTGCAGTACTTCAAAAACAATAAACTTGATATAAGAAATGTGCAAGCTACCTCTAAAATATGTTCCCACCATAAAACATACTGTACATGCAACAATTGAAATAAGTTCAGTGCTTAAAAAATTTTAAACATGATATAAAAAATGTGCAACAGCTCCCAAACCACAAACATAAAATACAGAACTAATAAATTAATGCAATAATGAAAAAAGTGCAACCTTAGTCTTCTTAGTGTCAAACAAATCAGTGCTCACATCAAAATATAGGCATATACTGTACATGTTAAAAATACAATGTCCATTCAAAAAAAAGGTCATAATGTGCTCAAATAGTACTTCACTATTGTGCTCATGTGCTCCACCCCATCACAAGGTATCTTCATGTTAAATAGTTAGTCTGGTTTACCTCTTGATGTGATTAGAATTTTTCTCACACTTCCAAACAAAGATCACACTTCTATAATAGTATGAGGTTTAGAAAAAGTGTTTTAAAATACCCTGTTAGAATACTACTCTAAAGCACCAAAAAAAAAACTAAAATAACACATAAATTCTATGTTGGATTTATTTATAAAGCATCATGAAAATTAATATAGATTACTTTATGCCTGGTTAGTTATATAATAACCCCTTGTGTATCGCATTGTATTGTTATTGTACTGTCGCATGTTCTGTCTCCCATTGTAATGTACAGCGCTGAGCGAACTGTTGGCGCTTTATAAATACTGTATAATAATAATAATGCCCTATAATTGTCACAAATGCTGGTTTTAAGAATGTCTTTATGGTATCACACCATTTAGAAATGTAATAAACATATTCAAAACTAAAAAAAAACCAAACAAACAAAAACTTGTCTTGGCGTACATTTTACATTTCACTATTTGGAGACCTACTTCATAATTTTTCTGTGCTCCTTGCTACTATATTTACTATACTAAAAATTCAGAAATAAATTCTTATCTACCTCTTTACATTGTAGAGGTCATTTTTTTCAATATGCAAATTCTTATATTTCCTTTTTTCAAAAGTCTTTACCACAATATATAGAAAGATGCAATAACTTGCTAAAGTTTTGGGGAAGATTCAAAATTCAAAAATGTTTGCAGATTATGATTTCCCAGTTGTAAAATCATTTCACCCCTATTTTATTTGTTGTCTACTGTCATTGATGGTTATGGTACCTTGTATGTTTGAATGCTGTTGGATATTTAAAGAGAGATCATCCAAACTTTGTCACATCTTCTTATGAACCACCCTGTATATAGTCAGCATTATGCGTTATACCAAAAGTATTAATTTGCCTTCTTTCATACCTTTCGCTCAATTCTCCAGAGCAGGCAAAATCTAATCGATTTGTCAAAATTATTTGTGTTTAATCTGTTGTTTGCTCAGTGTTCACACCATTGTCCTACATTAAAAATGTTGTAATCTAGTCCCCCATCCTACTTTTTTAGTGCATTGGTGCATTATCACAGCTAGGTCAGTTGAAGGGTGTCCTTTTGTGATGTGTGCAAATGCCTCCAAAACATGAATGTGTGTAGTGGAAATGTAGCCTTAAAATGACTGCCTTAATTATAAGGTGTTTATGCTTTAGTAAGGTTACCTGGCAAGGTCTCTTCCAGTCGCACTTAACTGCAAGCAAACAAGTGGATCAGCCTTAACGTAAACCACTGCAGGCTTTGGAGACTTAAGCGTTGGTAGCAATTGAGGAGGGGGGCTCAAGCCTGGACGGAACACAGCAATGTAGAGGGAATACTGGTTAAAACTCCACAGATGTCCACAAGACTGAAGGGAGATTCAGCAGGCACAAGGGATTTCAATACTTTATTAAAGGATCTCCTCCCCCTCTTAATAATAGTAGGCAGGGGTCAGGGGATGAAGAGGATGACATACAAGTGTAATGGACTGGTGGATTAGTTTTTTTTTTTTTACTTTGCTTGTTTTGTACACATTGTATGTAGTGCCTATTCTTTTAACATGATAAATTTGTTTAATGAATAAATATGCTTAATGGGTTTCTAATGTATTTACAGAATTTAGGTAACAAACTGAATTAAAGGAAGAATACTACAGGATAACAGAATTTATACACACACATACACACGTGTGTTAAACACAGGAACTGTGAACCTGTGCAAATTATTCTGAAAAATACATTCTCAAATTTTGTGAGTTGTGATATCAGAGGAAGCACAATTAAATTATCATTGAACCTGTATTCCCACTTTGAGCGTAGAACATCTAATATCTGTAGTAAAAACAGCAGAATTAAAATATATGCAGTCAAAAAACAGCAGAATAAAGACAAAGAAGGCTCATTCACACTCTGTCCATTTTTTCAGAATGTCTCTGTGTTTCACAAAAGCAGAATGCACGGACAAACAAAAATACATTGTGCTTATGTATGTATACAAGCAATGAGGGTGGACAGCACAATCTTTATATACAGAATGGTGCACATCAAACATGATTTTCCCAATCAGAAAATGCCAGTATATGTTTGTGAATCATGAATTTACTGTCAAAAGTATCCAGCTCTATGTGCAGAACTTGTATGCACAGTGTGCTTGAGGATTGATACTTTTAAACAGCATTTTAAATTCTCAGACAAGGTGCTGCACTGGTGACACAGGGTGACAAAATGCACTGAACCAGGTGCAGGCTGGTAAAACGGTCTCTTGCCCAAATGAGATACCTTCTAAGACCAACCCTAAACTGACCCTCCTGCATAGAAACCTTTCCCTATGCTGAACCTAGCTATTCCTCACCAGTGGGTCTCCAGTCTCTACACTGCAGGACCCACCAAAATGACCTAAGCAGGGGCTATATATATAGCCTCTCCAGTTCCCATATAGCTGGTCACATTTCAGCAGAGCTCTATGTCCAATTAGACACAGATTCCCTAAGATGGCCACTGGGTGCCTAGTGCATAGGACAAATCAGTCCTTTGCAAAGTTTCCCCTAGTACCATTGGTAAGCTGTGATCATGTTATCATTGTGTTTTACTTCTAGCAGCTAATGTGGAACTGAGTGTGGGAATTGAGTGGGCAACAGGGGCGGGCTGACCATTTGGAAACTTGGGCACTGCCCAAGGGCCCGGGGGTCAGTAGGGGGCCCCATGAGATGCCCTGGTACCCTTTTTCATAGGCTTTTTTTGAGTTTGGGCAAGGACACAGCGGCCCCATGATCCCCTATTGCCCGGGGGCCCCATGAGTTGTCAGTCCGCCCCTGGTAGGCAATCTGCAGATCTCCGCCTCACTCCTTAGTCTGCCACCCGTCTGAGCAGCTGCCACACAGCACACTCCTACAATATGATATCCCTTTCTAAATTATTATTAGGAAAACACCTTGAAGCTCCTCGTTCTCAATAAATAAGCTTGGTCTGTGGCCTTTAAATATGGGTATTAAAAAGCTGAATACCTTTATAAATATCCAGTTATGGGTTAAAAAAAATATCTAAGGATCTTCCAAATGTACTGTACACTATAAAATCTTAAATGTGCACACCAGTTCCTGGGGTATGTACTTTTCTGAACCTGTACTAGTTTTTACATGTACAGGTGGACGTAATCTGCAGGGCTGAGCAGTCAGTTTGACAAATAACTCCTTCTCTTCATCTCAGTTGCACCAACTGCCAAGCCTCACAGATTACACCAGGACAGGAACACTAATTGTAGCTCCTGATACACAGCACTTGCGTTAGCTGTCAAATTGACAGCAAAGTGCCACAGATGGTGGCTGGCTGTCAGGATGTGAACAGCGTGTCTCTCCTGTCCTGATCCTGTCGGTATTGCTCAGCGATCCTCTTCCTCTCAGGCACACACAGCACCCCAGCTTCACCCACAGACATGGTTAAAATAAGGAAACACATGCCCAAACAGCCAGGAGAATCAATCTCAAAGTTCTATTGTGCACAATATCCCCCAACGAACCCCATACGCCTGCTATTGCCAAAACGTCTATAATTCAGAGACAAGAAGCTCAGGATTTTTCCTGACTTCTCTACGACCAAGCAAAAACAGAAAGCAGCTTTCCTAATGGTCAAGAACAGACTTTGAGAAAAAAAAAATCTATCCTGCAGTATGCTTTATCCAGCAAAGCTTTGTGCAATAAACAACAGAAAAAAACACCGTTCTTCACTTCCCTTCAAAGGCTACAACTTGGCTAGATGGCCTAGGAAATGCCACTTCTTAAGATTTCTTCTTCCCATCCTGA